AAAATAAGAATTTAAAATAAAAAATTAAACGTAAGGGCAGGAGCACACTTCTACATAATGCATTACGCATAAGAAAATGAACCAATCAGAATTCTTTCATTTCCATTATAAGAGAAGAAATGGAAGTATTGTGATTGGTTCTATTTTCTTATGCGTTATGCATTATGCAGAAATGTGTGTTCCTGCTCTAATGCATAAATAAATATAAAATATATGGTTAATTTTTATTCCGAGTTTCGCGCAGTGTAATTGCGAGTCCTACTTGCTGTATTTAGAACTGTTTATAAAAAAATATCGTGTCTTGCTATTATATATAGGATGTTCGGTGACAATCATCGTCTCGTCATACTTCTCGTGGACAAGTAGAGCAGGTTATATTATAAATATAAGAAAATATAAGAAAATATAAGAAAATTTTATACTATTTTTGCAATATTCACAATAATTAAAATGTTATTAACTTATATAAATTCGTGAATGAGTGTGAGCATTCGTGCAAAGAGGATAGTTCAGTAAAGTTATTGTGCTCCAAATACAGCTTATAACGTCTGATCATTATTACAATGTCTGTTAGTATTGGTCATATAGATCTATCTGAAGTCTTTTATCGATAAGGATACCTCTAAAAACAGCTTATAGACAATCAAGAGATTTATAACTCACTTTTGAAGGAATTTTCAATAAAAGAAAGTTCAGACAAATGTCTAAAGTTTTCAAAGTCTAATGGATTGCGTCAGAGTCACCACCTTCATTCAACCCCTTCTCCCAAATAAATCTCAAATTTGTATCAAGTTAAATTCTCGATAGTTGGTACATCTAAGCCCATAAGCAAAATAAATAATTTGTAAGTAGAATTTTATGTTAATTTTGTTAAATTATTTGTATCTAATTATTTATATTTAATTCCCTCGATTATTGTTTTACTTTAATGACTTTATCAAGCCTTTTAAGGATGTATCTTTATCAAAATACATTTCCATCTTTTTGATAAATGTGCGCAAGCTGTGACACAAAAAGATCTACATCTGAAAGCAAGAAAATTTACTTTGAATATATGATAGTAACAGAAATACAAGAGAATGTTTCTTCTCAACTTGATACGCGCGCGTAGTTCAATCATCAAATATTAGAAGTAAATTATGACTACACTTCACTGTTTCGAACACAACATTACAGATTATTAATGATGCATAGGTCGTCCTTTTTCGTTTTCTGGCTGTACTTCATATGTATGCGGCCAAGCTGTTGGTTTATCAGGATTTATGGCTTGATCCGGATAGGCGTCTCGAAAATCTTCCATTGTCATTTCTGAGAATGGCAGTAAATTCCTTATTCTCTCAATTTCCTTAGTGGCAGTGGCAATGCGTTGGTTCGACTCGACAATAAATTGCCCAATTTTGGAATTCTGTATATAAATAAATATATGTGTATATATACATGTTTAGTTTAAAAATAAAATTAAATACTAAAAGTATATTTGATATTTGGAATATAAACATATTACCACTTCTTTTTCTTGAGCCTCAACTTCTGAAGTATATTTATCTATAGGATATGGTACTTTGAAAGATTCATATTCCTTCTGAAATTTGTCAACTAATCCAGGCACTGAAATATTTTTCTTGTAGAATGCCCAATCAATTTTTGGAGGTGTTTCTGGATTTGAGTTCATTCTATAAAGTAGAAATATAAAAACATTTCAAATTTTTATTTTCAATAACATATAAAACATGATATATATTATAAACATGAAATATATTTTATAGCATAAATTCAATTATCTACCAGATTATTATACATTAAAAGTTATTATAGATATTGAATATCTAAATGCAATGACAAGATATTTCCTTCATGATGAAATAATTAATGTATATTCTACTAATATACAAAAAACTCATCGTTAACTATGTATAGTCATTTAAAATATTTATATACTTTTATATTTTAATAATTTTATAGCAGCACTTTTGGTACACACTAGTCTAGTGTAGTACAAGAGAGCAAATTTGTTATTGTATGTTTTATATTCCACAGAGTATTACCCTAATAATTCCACACACATCTTACAAAAAGTTAACGTACAATATATTTGGATGATATTCTAACAGATATGAAATCAAGATTATTCTGACAAGAATTACGTGTATATTTTTTACAGAAAAAATTTTATGTTTAATATTTTTTTATTTTTTTATAAAACTAGTATGCAATTATTACAAAAATTAAAATTCCATCGACACAATAAAAGGCGAGATTTTTAATTAATAAATCGCATTATGCACAAATACAACTTTGCTCTAAAAGCAGCATTTGCACATTATGCGATTAATCAATCGTTGAAGTAAAAAACTCGTCTAAAATTAATCGACAATATTATATAATAGCATACGTGTATGTGCATGCGATTAGCGAAAGGATATATTTATTTACCGTCGCAGGTGTTGATCAGATTTGGCTTTAAAGGCGGCGAATGCAGTTTTTCTGTCTCTGGAATTTTTTCGGCTAATGCCGACCAATTAATCACTTTAATTGCTCTGCGTGACATCTTCTCCACACTCTTTTACGTCTCTATTAGAAACTGCCGTATTTTCTCGACAGAAGATAACTATAGCTATATATCTATGACTATATAACTATGGCTATATAACTATGGCAAGCGCAGGGGAGTACCAAAATAAAAATATATCGATCTCGCACAACAAATTACTAGTGCTTTCCAACAGGTGACACTAGTCTAATTTCCACCGAAGTTTTCAATTCGATTCTACATTCGCATACACTTGACCGGAAAAAAGATCCGGTTGAAGAATTTGAAAGATATCTATTAGATTCGGAAAAAATTAACGGAGACCGACTGGATTTGAACTCGGGATCCCTCGTCTACCAATCCGATACTTAGTCTGCACGACCACGACGGCTCCTCTCTATTAGCTGTTTATATTCCGAATCTCTTTCATGACCGCTTACGGTCGTCTAATTCTTACAAATTACTGTGTTAAATCGTTTGTATTTCGTTTGAAGAGTTTTGAAGTGCAATTGAAAAGATTTGTGAGTTATTTAGTCAATTGTAATTAATTATTTATTTTTTTCACTATGGATTTAGCCGGATTAATCGGATTAATCGGAGGTGAATGGATGACACCCGTTTGACCACGTCCCGATTGACCATTAGCCACTCACAACGCTTGAATAGTGGAAAAATTTTAGACGCTGGCCCCCTGAGAGCGTCAATCAGGAGCAGATGCACATTTTCAATCGGACACACCACTCACATCAGCCGATGCCTAGGAATTTTCTAATGAACCACCTATCAAAGTTTTTTATTTAATCGACCAATCGGCAATGTATCCGATTGGACTTCATCTCGTTTACTCTGTCTGTGAAAGTGACTGCAGTTCATCATTCGTTTACGCAAGGATGTATCTCATCTGCGCAGCTTTCGAAAGTCCTACTTTGGATGCTCTGCTTGCAGTACTGCGTAAACAAACACCAAAATGAATTTCATTAGAATAAAAAACAAAAAGAAT